CCCCCTCCTTTTAGAATACATCTACGGTTTTTATTATTATAAGCAGAACTATCAAAAAATATATCTCAAATATGACTTGTTAATGAGAAATTAGTGTTCTATCACTTTACTATATAGTTATTTTCCTAACAAATGCGTAAAGTGATACTTTCCCTCACGCTTTATTTGACATTTACCCTGACATTAACAAATAATGCTAGTCGTTCAAATAATTTTCAAATATGTAGTAATTTAATATGGTTATCACTTGGCTGAAATATTCAAAAACGAAACGAAAAACATGCTAAACCATTATTTTTTAACATTATTTTGTCCAGAAAACATTAACTTTATCTAAAACCGTGTTTATTAAAATACAATAATTATGCAATTTTCAAAGGCTCATTTTTGTTGACCAATCTATATAATAAATTATTAAACTATTAAAAATATTTTTTCTAATAAAACTCAAAGTTGCACTTCAAATATGCGCACAAGAAGTTCCACTTCCAATATGCGCACATAGTGCACACACAATTTTTTTAATAAATTAATACTCCTATTATTCGAAAAAAATTATGGAAATACCTAAAATTCCTACTCTTGGAGTAATAGAAATACAGGTATGTAAATAAAAATATACAGGGTATCACAAAAATAGTATACGAAACTTTAGTGGGTGATTCTACAGCTAAAGAGAAAAAAAAAGTTTGTATAAACATATTATACCCTAATGCCGGGTCCAGACCAAGCAGACAAAACAACGATAAGACAGAAACATTCATGTTTTACGACAAAATTGCGACAAATCCAATACATTTCTGTGACATTTTTGTTTTGTTTCAAAATTTGGAGACTTTTCCATGGCCTGTCGCGAGTCGGTAAAGATCAAAGTGTCTATGTTTTGTTCGTATATTTTACGACAAGTTGTCGGCGCAGTGTGGATGGCGTGTGCTGCCAGCAGTAGGGACCAGGGAAATCACACACAGATGGTTAATAAAACTCGTTCCCAACAACTAAACTTTTGACTTTGTTGTACTTTTGTCTTTGCGGTGTGAACAATTTGTCTCCAGTTTGTCTTGTCAGAATTCCCCATTTTTTGTCGCAAGTTTGTTTTGTTTTTGTCTCAAAATCGTGTTTACTTTGTAACGTTTTTAGTTCGTTACATGTCTTTTTTACATATAATATATGATGTCTGGCCTATCGTCACCGGATTCCCTCTCGTTCAGGCCTGATCATTTTGTTGGTTCGCTTGGCGTAATTTTTACGTTCCCTAGTCGCCAACCCTGCTATCGTTTCAGTATTCTGTGGAGGCGCGCGCTGTCAACATCGCTTCTGTCAACTCTCTGTGATTTAACGGCACTTTTGGTTTGACCCATAGATAAATGCAACAAGTTTAGATTGGAAAGCCCGTAAAAATTTTAGGTCGCGAAATTATTTTGGGTCGCGACCGTTGTACGCGATCTGGCGCTGCTATAGCGGTCGCTAAGAACAACGGCAAACAAAAACAGAAATAATTTTCTCTTGTCAAAGTCAGAATCTTCAAAAATCATAATAATCTTTCAAAATCTAAACCGCTCTCATTAAATAAATTCCGAAAAGTGTTTATAGCGTTCATTTTCAAAGTAATTATTGCTATCTTGTGAGTTTAATTCAAGTTTTATTTACTCCAACCGGTGATAATTGTGAAAAAGTGGCATTAAAAACTTAAAAAGCTGTGCTGTGAACTTTGAACAGCAAAAACCATCGTGGATCGTGGCATAACGTCTGTTTCCAATGTTTCATAGTTATTTCATACATGCGTCCTTATATAAAATAAAGTTTCTTGTATGCAACACACTGTATTTTATTTATAAAATTAAACGAAAATAATAATAAATTTGAATAAACAATATTTGGCGATATAATTCCGGAAAAAGCCGAATCGCTCCGAAATTTTCAAAAGTTTTGGGTCGCGACCGTTGCAAGAACAGCGCCAAATAGTGTTTACATTGTCCTTATGGGCACTTTCCAATCTAAACTTGTTTCATTTATCTATGGTTTGACCGTTTGGCCTGTCAGACGCCATTAGTCCCAGTTTTTTTAGAAATGGTGATTGTTTAAATCTTGCTGTATAATCTGAATCAGCTGCTATTTCGAGGCTACAGGTAAAGATGAGTTATTACCTTTTATAGATTCGATATTATTATTGAATATTTTTAGGGTAGAGTTACGGATGTCCCAACTTGTATTTGTATTTTGCTGGCACGTTGGTGTCCCTTTTCTTTTGTCCTCCAGAATGTCACATGGAAGAAAGGACAGGTTGTTTATTATTTATTGAGCCCTCGGAAGTATTTCGAGGTAGGTTTATTTTGTTTATTAGACCTTGTTTGGTTTTAAACAAGAGTTTCATATTTTTAGGGTCCAAGGTACGGGTAGTGTCTTATGTACGGACATTATCTTATGTACGGATGTCCTGTGGACGAGTGTCCCCAGTAAGAATGATTTTTTCTTACATATAAGTGCCACAGCGTGGATGTAGCTTGAGTCCCATGCTGCCTTGTTCCCAGCTATAAGCTAGTTAGTTACGGCTGTATCAATTCATGGTGTCCTCATTCTGGCCCCTTTGGTTGTGTTGGATGGCTGAGTACAGAGATGCGAGACCACCTCACGCTGTTACTGTTTAAAGCAAGATTACATAAAGAACAGCTAAGTGTAGATTTAAGTTCTAGTTTTACATTTAACATTTAAAACATTTACAGTCTTAAACAATAACGTACATCTTAAATAATATCGTACAGACTATGTTTAGTGGTTAGATTGTTAAGAACATTCATGTCGATTTAATATTTAATATAATAAATACTAAATATAATTTAGATCTTAGGTTTCATTGCATTGCATCTTGTAATTGTATTACTTTTATAGATATTATTATTGCACTATTTTAACAGATGAATAACCAAACATAGATTCTAGAATCTACAGGTTGCAACATCTTCGATTTAGCATCATATGGAATATATTAAATTAATTAAAGTAATGCTACATTTCATATATTCTCTTATCTTTACATGTCTTGTATTTTATCGTAGTTGTTTTCATTGATATTTAGTACGACCCTTACCACCACTTTCTTTGACATATAACCACTATATATTTATTAGAACTCTACAATGTCATGTACCATCTAAGAACATCACGAATAAATATAGTCATTAGTTTTCAGTAATATACAACTGTGTTTTCTTTCTCTGTACATGCCTGGCGCCCAATATTTATAATTTCGAGTTATTATTGTTAATTAGTTTCTTTCCAGTGAAATACCTTATCCACGACTGCTCTACCAACAAAAAGCTGCCGTTCGCAGTGATAATGTTTTAAAAAAACGCAACAACTTTTTGTCGCCTTGATGTGGACCCGGCATAAGATGCTTCTCAAGGAATTTGCATAGTTTTTTTATTTCCTAGCCTACTGTGACGTCGTTTTTTATCGTAGAGTATTTTAATAATGTTTCCAATAAAATATAATATAGTATAATAGGTCATAATTTGAAAGTTCAATGGCGCTTCGATTAATAAAATATTCTGTTTTACCTTTTAGCGGTCCCATTTAAAGGTCTATAAAAGCAAAGCAAAAAGCTTTCAAAGTTTAAATAACCCCATTTGACGGCACTTTTCATTACGTAACTTTTCAAATTTGCATTGCACAAAGCCAATTTCCTGCATGTCTTCGGATCTATTTTCAACGCTACAGCATTTATTATAATGGTAAAATTGAAAGTTACTACAGTCCTGGGTAAACTAAAAGTAATGATGTTGTCGACTCTATTACTTTATGGAAATTTCTTTTAAAAATCTTTTTATATGCTCATTTTAAAGCATACATAATTCTGAAACAAATTAAAATACATTGTAAATATAATACTTTATGTTTTATATACAGGGTGCTACAAATTCGAGGTACAAGCATTGGTATCTCGGTAGCCGTAATAGATACAAACATAGTTAAATTACGGCAAAGTTGCGTAATGGGATGTTCACCAAGATGCCATGAAAAAAGTTTTAAAAATTTCAAGGATTGTTCAGTTTTTTGGAAAAAACTGATTTTTTGGAAAATCAATTTTATTTTTTTCTGTCGTTACTTTTTAGAAAATCAAAAAACTAATTACACATTGTCATGGCCACTTTATTAGGGCTATCTGATAGTATATTTATATTTTCAAATTAGCTGATAATTTGTGAGATACAGAGTCCAACTTAATTTTTTTAAATACGGACCTGCATTTTTTATTTCAGTTTTTGAAAGAACTCGGTCTCCTGAATACAATGATGTGCCACACTTTATATTTTTTTTGTTTTGTATACCCTAACAGCAACAAAACTATTTAATTATTATTTAAAATAATAAGTCCGACTTTGGTTTCTTAAATTATTTAATCTGGTTATATTCATCGCAACAATAATGATCGAGCCAATTGGAAGAATCAAAAAATAAATAATATCCAGGTCAGAAGTTTAAAGATATTTATTTTTAACTTTTTTTATTGTGAATTGGAAATCTCAGTGTGCGATCTAATAATATGTATAATATTAATGGTAGTTATTATAAATAAATCAACTTCTATAAATTAATTTCTAATGTTCTACAAAACATGTAAAAGTGGGCAACGCTGTGCCGGCCAAGCTTAATCACCTGACTAAAAGTTTATTTAGTTTGGATCTATATATTATAGACTCTTAATAGTAGATTATTTTCTTTTATCTATGATTATAGACTCATGATTTTCATAACCTAGTCATGAAGACATTGATGTAAAAATTTCCAACAATAAAAGCAACGCTTTAAAGAAAAAAATACACTTTTTTAAATTCACTTCCCTCAGCACCGTTCCGAATAAACATTTCCCTTTAATACGGAAGCAGAGAATATAAACAAAACCGGAGCACAAAGCGTTACACAGGGGATTACTCTTAAATCTACGCCCTTTTTTTCGGGCGCGTTCGGTTCTGTTAAGATTAACATTTATTTTATTCTTGCAGGATAACCTTTAGAGAGCCCTTGTTTATCGGAGGCCCGGGCAACACGACGGGGCTCGACGAAAAATTGCCGGTGACGAAGGGCCTGCGCGGCTGCATCAGGCATTTGGAGGTTAATGATCATGTTTATAAGTTTGCCTTGGAGCCGAGCGGAGAAAGTATAAAAGGATTCGGAATTGGTAAGAATTGTTCATTGTATTTCAGAAAATCAGCTTTTACTTCAGATTCATATCTAAACATAAATCCATGTATTTTAAGTTAGCACAACCATTTAAAAAAAATATATGAAGCTATGTGGAACATTTGCCGTAAATTTGCCGCTCTTCGCTAAGTGTGCTAAATCGATGGTTGTACTAAGTTAATATTAAGCCGGGTCTCCACCAAAGCAACATTTGTCGGTGTGTCGCCGACTAGTGTTGTCGACAATGTTGCTAAAAGTTCAGTAAAGTCGTCATTTTATGTCGCAGATTTAAGTCGCCGACTTTGTTTCATGTTTCTCTTGAGAAGCGGTACATCAAAGAAAAATCGTGTCGACGACAATATTTACAAACATGTCTTCACCGAATAAACTCCTATCAGTAACTTTATCGGGTATATTTTGTCATTTGTACTTGTGTTCACAAGGCCAGAAGTTTGTTTTTGATTCTGTTACTAAAAATAAATTTGGTATGGAGGGAGCAATGATGAAACAAGAAATCTGTTTGAAAAATATCAAGCCCACCCCGAACCTTGGGACACTAAGCATACTTGGTATAAGAACAGAAATTGAAAGTATGATGCCTGGAATGATATTGCAACTAGTTTAGAAGTGGAGAGGGTGGAAGTTGAGAGAAAAGATTGTGTCCATTTTACAAATCCTGGGACCAGTCATTTGGAGCAATGATTCAAAGTCAGCTGAACTCATTCTTAGAAAATTCTTGAAACTACTTTGTATTTCATTGTGGAGCGGATTTAAGTCACCTGTACAAAGATCAGTGAGCAAGTCACTACCACTATATAAATTTCTCTTCCGGAGGCTAGGACGTATCCAAAAACGACGTTGCCGTTTGGCTTGACGACGCTCATTGCACTAAATAATAAGGAATGCGGCTGAGATTATAATTACATCCTCTCGTTCCACATGTTGATAAACACTAAACGAACTTTCGCTCTTTAGTCGAAAAATGAAGTCGAGCAACAATATTTCTTTGGTAGGTACGATCTACATTTCTCGACAATATTTATGAAAATAGTAACAAAAGTTGATGACAATGTCGTCGACATATGTTGCTTTGGTGGAAACCCGGTTTTAAGTTAGGCATAATCACCTATAGAGAGATACAACCTGTACCCTATAGAGAGATACAAAAACAGTTAATTTCTATTATAAATCATGTAATTTAATAGAGGTGTCTACCACCCTCTCTGTAGAGATTAAATGAAAATTGTTCAGTATAGTTAAGGGTTAATATAACAGAAATGCCTTACAATATTTTTTAAATAGGTTACTGATCGGTGTCATAACCGCTTGCTATTAGATTATTGTAAATCTCTAAGCTTTCTTCGGGACCTCGGAATTAGTTTAATAAATTTGTGGTTTTAATTATATTTTTTAGAGTTAACGATTATTCACAATGTCTAAAAAAGTTAATTAAAATTAACAGAGTATGCTAGCAACAACTTGAGGGTAGTCAGTTGTATTCATAGAAAAAGCCTAATAATTACCATATAATAAAATGCTTATTTCTGTCCACAGTTTCTCCTGACGGATGATAATCAAATGCCAAAATTACATTAGTTGCAAAATTAGAGTTTTCAATTTTAGTTTCAATAATTATACTATACTATACTCAGACATAGACACATAGATACATTTTTTAGACATTCACAATGTCTAAAAAACAATAAAAATTAATAGAATATTTAACGGAATAATATTACAGCTTGTGGTTAGCTGTATCCACAGAGAAAACCTAATAATTAGCTTATAAAACAATAAATTTTTGATCTCTAGCCACAATTTCTCTTAAAGGATGATCATTTTATTACTAGCAAAAGTTAAAAGTTTGTTAACTTGTTCTACTAACTGAAAATTACTACCACTAATTTTTACGTTCTAAATGCTTACACTGAAATTGGAGGAACAAACTTCTACGTTAACCGAAAACAATAATTTATTGCACTAATTTCGAGGTGAAACTTTAGAAAAAGGCTTAAAAAATATTAGCTTGTGCAGTGAGTGTTCTCAGACAAAAGAAAACATGAAAAATAATGGCAACAAAAAACAACTTTCAACCAAATGCTCTATTAATAAAGCTCTAAATATTTCCCTAATATATCAAAACAATTTATAACATTTTGTTACACCTTTCAACGAGAACAAGCAAAATTGACCACAGACCAACCTATTTGAATTTCAATGCAAACCATATTCCATTGAGAACTAATGGGCAAAGTCAATAGAGAGTCAAAAGTTAAACCCCTACGGCACCATTTAACCGTCAACATTATATTACCTTGTGTAAAGTGGAATATGATTTAACAGTCAACCAGTTCATATATTTTTCGGAAAATATAATAAGGATACATACACAATCACAAGTAATGATTTATACATTTTAAATTTGTGAGGTAACAATTTTAATAATTCAGACTATTTATCAAGTGAATAAAAAATATCGATTTTTACTATACCAAACCTTTCTCTCATTCTTTCTTTGCGTTAAAGCACTTCCAGCTCTTTGCAAAGTTCCCAATGTCGCTGATGTTGGCATCCGCTGCATCCTCTAGTCCAAAAAACTGTGTCTTACAGTTTTGAAGCGTCACGCGTCGGTTTTCTAGTACCGGAGAGTAGAACCTAACCTGAACACTTTGACCTGTAGAAATCTCTATATTTTTAAAAAATGCTCGAAATTTACCTACATTTGCTCACGAAATTTCATTTCAATACCAACTATCATTTTTCTTGGTGCATCCGCGTCGTATAAAAGGCGCCATCCTCTACATAAATTATTACATTATTATTTAAGTGCCAAACAATAAGAATATTCACAAATTATTAATCATCCATCGAAATTATTTGCTAAACATATACATCCAATAAAATTATTTGCCAAAATATAATACACACAAATTAATCTAACTACCGAACTGCGAACTACCAAACTAAGAACTACCGAACTACGATCTACCAAACTATAAAATAAAAAGTAAAGTTTTATTAAAATCCATTCAGTAGTTTTTGTGTGAAAGAGTAACAAAGATTTACAGGGTGTTCCAGGCTGAGCGTGCATTAGAGGTTTCTAGAGAACCGTAATATCTAGATCGGAGATTTTTTGCACATCATTGTTTTACAACGAGATCTATCGATTAAAAATATTTTCAGTATGGCGGCACTTCCGGAAATACCGGAAGTTGATAGCAACTTTCTTATTTTAAATGGGTACCCTCATTTTTTATTACATACTTAAATTTTCTGTAAAATTTTATGAATTTTGATATTAACACTCTATACCTAACAGTAAATGTTTTTGAGAAAAAAAATATTTAAATTTTTCGGAGGAGAAAAACTGCATGTCAAAAGAATTTGTATAGCCTAAACGTCAAATTTAGTGATTATCACAGACACTGTGCCATAAATAGAGAATAGTGGCTATCTATTTCAAAAATTAAATTGTTCGAATGTCATACAATAATGACGGTAGCTGTCATTGAATTGAGCCATTTAAAAATTAGCATATGTCATTTTTTTCAAATGGAAATCCACTGTATTCTCTTTATGACATAGTGGCTGTGGTAATCATTAAATTTGACATTTAGACTATACACATATTTCTGACAGGCAGTTTTTTTTGTTCAAAAATTTAGTATGTAATAAAAAATGGGGGCACCCATTTAAAATAAGAAAGTTGCTGTCAACTTCCGGTATTTCCGGAAGTGTCCCCATATTGAAAATATTTTTAATCGGTGGATCTCGTTGTGAAACAATGATGTGCAAAAAATCTTCGATCTAGATATTGTAGTTCTCTAGAAACTTCTAATGTTCTACAATTGCAGGCGTTTACAAAATATAGAGGAATGTTTAGCGCTAAATGTCTGATAGATTACTCTGTGGCGGTTAAGGATTAACAACAATAAAAATATAAACAACACGCTGTAAGTTGTCATTTATCCTGTCACGCACTTTGTGCAGCGTGTATAATCTATCGCATGTTCTCTCATGTGTGTTACTTCATTGTTTGACAAATATAGGCAACCTAATTTATTTCCAAATGCAAACATTACTGTTTGAGAAGTCGCATTAAGCAAATTTACGTTTGCAATGACTGCCCGTGAAGCCTTGACCGATTACTGAATTATTTACTGAAAAACAGTTTTAACAAATCTATAAAAATATTTAACGCAGTCTCATACTACTGTTCTGTTTCAAAATCAGTCAAATAGTCAACGTCTAGCTGAAAAAGCGACAAGTAATAGATGATAAAATCAATGAAAATTCTAGTAATTGAATTCCTTTTCCACCTGACGTGCTTTTTAATTAATGTAAAACAACCGAGACCCAAGCAGATCTGTTTTTAGTGTAACTATTAGCCGTAAATTTTCATCAAAAATAACTTGGAAACTTTTAGTGAGATTTACATATTTGAAACCGAGAAAGTTGGGGATATTTTAATGATTTAGTGGGAATTAGTCGAGAAAGTTTTACGAAAACCGAGGACAATACTATTATTTAAAAAGTATATCTCGATAGAATAACTTTGCGTCGAACTAAGTGATTTAATTTTTGTCTGAGAAGTAACGTAATTTAATGACTCTCTATAGGGCCCAGTAGCGGCGCATAGTTCAGTAGTTTGGGGGTGCACAACCTTAGAAAAAAATGTCACACGACCGCTTTCAGAAATGGCACTTTTTGGGTAATCAAATCGTCAATCTTAGGCTACAAATTTATATTCATTTCATAAAGTGCGATCCTTATTTTCCAATCCTTATCCGATTTTATCATTTAATGTTTGTTTTTCGTAGCATTTAACAAAAAATATTCTGGTTTCTGTAGATAGTTTATTAACTAAGGTACATTTTATACTGGAAATTTTGCCAGTTTCTTGATATTACAGAAAAATGAAGAAAAAGAAATACATTTTAAGAGGGACATTAGTCCGAAACAGTAACAAAATAAGCCGGCAAATAACGTTTTATGTAA